TGTCTAGTTCATGACACACAGACTAGGATGGATTCCTTCTACACAATTCCATGACTAGAAATCCCATTTAGAAATTACATTCTAGCTTTAATAACCTAAACCATGACAATTTCTTCACCAGGTCTCCTGAAGTTAACTTTGTCAGGTTTTATACCTAGGCAATGCACAATACACAATCAGGTCACATGCTTCTGATGTAAAGTCAAGGATTCTGGCCAAACGATATGATGTGGAAACAGCTTTCACAACAGTGGGTTATGTGTTAAGCATTCAAGAACTACAGCAGGGAGAATCTTGCAAAACAACACATAGAAATCCTCTTTCAAAGTTTTCATATTATTTCATCTATCTGGTGGCTGAAGCTTCCAGGATGAAATTCACGGAACAGTTCACTCTAACCGGACCTTCTTCCATGTGGGGGATGGGATGAGATTTTTTTTCTTTGCAGACACCCTGTGCTTTCAGTATCTGCTCCGGAAATTGGGCCTCTGTCTTGTGCTGATCTTCTTGTGCTCTGTGGAGACTCAGGAAATATCATAGAAAAAAGTGAGGCCCACAGTGAGAGTGGCAATCTATTGGTCTGAAGCTGCGTTCTGTATGTGACTTCTAAAATTTTTCTTCGCCTTTGAAAGAGAATTAATGTTTTATTGTAGAATTGACTCTAAGTGAATCACTTCCTTGAGGAATCACAGACCTCCTGGCCATCAGAAAATTGGAAACTTCTCTGGCTGGAGCAGGCAGAAATTCCACCCTTCCAGGAGGTAACAGAAAACAGCCATTTCCAGCATGTATCATGAATGTAAAAGGGGCACTTTAGAGATTGAGATATAAATTTCAGAGCGAACAGGAATACAGTTTTCTCTCTTAATGTTGTATTTGGGGTCCAAAGATTTATTGAAGATATAGTAGTAGAAAGTAAATCAGGGGTGGCAAGGATGTTTTTAATATGCTTTCAGAGTAAGAATACTATCCTGTTTCCACAAAAATAAGACCTAACCAAAAAATAAGCCCTAGTATTTTTCACAATGCTCATAAGCCCTCCTCCCAAAATAAGCCCTAGTTAAGTGAAAGCGTGCCCTCCACCTTGTGCAGCAATCACAGGAAGATACGACTGTATTTGAATAAATGTAGATGGTTGTACATGAAAAAAATAAAACATCTCCTGAAAATAAGCCCTATTATTTATTTATTTATTTGTTTGTTTATTTATTTATGGAGCAAAAATACTATTAAGACCCCTGTCTTATTTTCAGGGAAACACTTTATTACTGTCAATTCCCCCCACCCCTGAAACCATAATGAAAGTTTTAAGGAAATATAAGGTGTTCAGAAGTGTGTTCACGAAGGCTTTCACGGCTGGGATCTAATGGTTGTTGTGGATTTTTCGGGCTCTTTGGCCATGTTCTGAAGGTTGTTTTTCCTAACGTTTTGCCAGTCTCTGTGGCCGGTATCTTCAGAGGACAGTTCTTTATTGTTAAAATGCAACTGTTGAGTTTGCGCACAGCAGCTTCAAGTGTTGTGGTTAAAAAAACACTTGCAGAACAAACATTTGTATTCTCTCCTTGTGTGTGTTTTTTCCAGCAGGTTATAGTAAGTAAAATGTTCACTTGGCCTTTGTTAAAAACATTAAAGAACATTCACAGTTCAAAATATAGAGTAGAATAAACTCACAGTGCTTAGACGGTTCAAAATATAGAGTAGAATAAAGTCACAGTGCTTAGACATATTGTAGTTGACTTAGTTATGTTTGCATCTCATTAAAACGTAGGAGACAAAGTTTAATAAACAAACTCTCATATCCTATAACATGTATAACAGTAGCAAACTTATTTTAATAAATTCTCATATCCTATAACATGTATAACACATCTGACAGCCAGACACTTTCTGATTGGTTAGAATACTTCACTGTGAAAATATGACATTCTGGTCCTTCCCATGCAAACACGCTCATGTATGCACATGCGCGTGCACACAAACACACACTCAGAGTATACTCCTACTGTCTTGAACAATCTCTTGCATCCTTCTCTGAAAATATCCACTGTGGCACACACTGTATCCCCTCATAGGGTGTGAATTTGATGACAGGCTTGTCGTTGCCTTCCCACCAGGGAATGCCAGGACAAATCTGGGATTTTATGAGGAACCTCCCAACTCCTAGTCTTACACCCGATCTGTTAAAAAGCAGCATCGGCTCCCACTGGTTCCTTATGGAACTAATGGAATAAATATCAGAGTATTAGTTCATTTACTTAAACACTTTCCCAGTAGAGCTGGATTGAGAGAAATGTCTGCAGGTGCTTTTCTTTAACATTCAGGATACCGGAGTTATTACGTTTCTCTCCCCCCCCCCCAGACACTTGCAAAAACCTACGGGCTTCGGGTGACTGTTCCAAGGGACATCCAGACACACCTGTCCCCAGAAATGGACACAAAGAACTAAAAACAAGGAAATGGAAGAAGGATTCCTGATCTCTATTTAGTTCCTCACAAAGGTAGCGGATGAGGGCAAATGGAGTGAGGTTAAATCCGGACAAGATGGAAGTCTTGTGCACGGGCATCAGTGGGTTGGGAAATTCCCTCTCCTTTGGGGGAGGGACTCTTCCCACAAAGAGTGAAGTCTGCAGTTTGGGCATCTGTGGTCCGGGCAGCCCATTTCCTTTGGGCATCTGTGGTCCAGGCAGCCCATTTCCGTCTTTGGAGGATGGCCCAGCTGCCTCCCTATCGAGACTTGTCCTAGTTTTTAATTTTCCTGATGGTCAGTGCAAGAACTCCCTAATTCAATCCTAATATTTGAACTGGGATTATCCATGATTACCTGATTCCCTCCCTGGAGATCTGTAGCCAGATCTTGGTTCTTCCGAAAATATCCTCCAATCTTCTTGCCTCCTAGAATCTGGGGTTAGGTCTAGAGAGCTTTCTGGTATAATAAGTTTCATAACCAGTAAGCAAAGATGATGGCTGAGTCAAGTTTTTGAAATATCTTGACAGGGCTAACCCACAGTAAGTAGTTCCTTCCTCTTGTTACATACAGTATTGTGAGGGGACGAGCTACCTTGCCCAGGATCCGGAGAGTGTACTGTCCACCTCTCAAATCAAGGCAGAAGCTCAAGAGGCAGGAGCGATAGAAAAAGAATTAAGAAAACTAGAAATTAAAGAAGAGGCTGAAGGGGGCACAAATCAGGTGGGAAAGGAGGAGGATAAGAGGTAGAAGGGATGGGGAAAACTGAAGCATATTGGGGATGAGAGAAGAAAGGAGAGGAAAAAGAAGAGTTAGTGGAGTTCAAGTCCCTTAAACAAGAAAGTGGGTACAGTTCAAGATGTCTCATGATTGCGCTGAAAGGGAATGGGGGCGAGAAATTGGGGGGGGGGAGACTGAAGAGCGAAAAAAGAAAGGAATCTAGGGCGTGGGTAAAGAGAGAAGAACAAATGAGAAAATGTACAATGAGTCCAGAGATGTCCCATGGCCTAGTCCCTTCAGAACCCCGACAAAGACATCGACTAAAGAGGAACAGCAGGGAACGACGACGTCCCATCCACAAAATTGAAGTGGGCGGAGAAGACGCCGGAGTTGATGGGGGACAGATCCAAGCCTATGTTTCTGGAGTAATTATTTTATTTATAGTTTTAAGGAAACAAGAAACCATTTGGCCTATCCAACCCCACCTCATCCCCCGCCCCACTGCCGGCCCCCTCACCACAGACACACCGCCCGCCTCCAAGGCCAGGAAAGTGGCCCTAAAGACCAGGAGGGGGGAGGGGACGCTTTTCTGCCTTTTCCCGCTTAATTTAACGGCTGCGCTTCCCCGCCCGTCAATCTCCGCCTGGCCGGCCAACCGCAATCACCAGGGGGCGCCTGCGCGGTGGAGCCTCCGCGGCTGAGGCGGGAGCCGTTAGTCCCTCAAGAAGGAGGAGGAGAAAAGGAGGCTTCCCTTTCTTCCTCGGGCTCCCCTTTACCTCACGCCCGGCTGTAAGATAGGAGGGTATCTAGGAAGCAGCCTTGAGGGGAAAATGTTGAAAAGGAAGAGCCAAACAAAGCCCTGGTACAGGAAGGGGCAAGTCCTCCAAGAGCAGAAGGGGGAGCTATTCATCGTAGGGTGAGGGTGGGAAAGGGGGAGGCGCACCTTTTAGTGTCCCTGGGAGGGGGGGTCCATCATTG